AATGTCACTTCATTCCCACTAAAAGCAAGGAGGAGCCAGACCATTGCAGGGTAACTCCGGAGACACAGTGGGATTCTTTTTTGGCAGCACACTCACTCTGAGCTCAAAGCCTGTGCACGTCCACACCCCACTCAGTCGGCTGATTGCCCACTTCACTCGGGATGGGAGCAAAAGAAGAAACCAGTCATACTCACCTACGCACTTTACACATACTTTACACATTCGCTGCTTCAACGTACGTCAATCACCATCCTTCTCATGAACCCCGGTACCTAGAAGCCACACCAATCAACCAACGTCATTGTGGTACGGGAGGAGGAAAGGGGCCATCCTGATAGCTGTACTCCAGAACCACATACGCATCTGCCAGGAGCTTATCCAACGGCGGGAGCTCAAAGAGGACTCGAGAGCACAATCGAACATGTCTGACATGAGGAGCTACATCATACAGAATGGCCTGGATCACAACTCGAGAACTGGACTCTGCACAGAGACTCGTTTCCACCCAGCCATCCCTTCGGTGCAGATGCGCCAAATGTAAGAGGTGCGTTGCATCCCGAGACAGGTAAAAGATCTGCCCACCGGAGAAACAACCTTGCACACATTTCACATCCCACTGCATGTGCTGAGGAGAGCATTTATAGACTTTGCATCGCACCAGTGGGATTCGAGGTCTAGGGTTTTCGGTAGTCTTTCAGAAACGCTAATACCCTGCGATTTCTGATTTATTTGAGTGGGTTTAAAGGCTTGTGAAGCGGTAATCGGACGATCCAGCCGAGACTGACGCAGAGATCCTGGCTCTACACCCGCCTCAAGGACAAATTATGAATCGAGCGACATGCCGATGGTTTTTTGCAAGCCGTCAATTAGCTGCCTCCTCGTTCACCACCCAACGTGGCTTCATCTTCTCCTGATTCTGTCTCCGACTTCGGAGCAGCAACATCAAGAAGACGGCTACCAACGGGAGTAGCATAAAAGCGCCAGACTTCCCAATCATGAAAAGCTGGCCCTGTCGCATGACAGCTCATAGCTTTGTCTTGCTATGTGAACAGTCTAGCGCGCCAGTACACCGTGCGGCATATGTATATATATATATATATATACATACATACATACACAACTAATTACGTACATCTACATTGGGGTACCCAATGGCGTGAGATGGATCCACGTCCTGAACCTTCGAAGCCAGGCATGCCTGCTGTACTGCATCATAAGACATGTCAGCGGCACTCTCCAGAAGGACTCGATTTCTTCCTCCTGTGCGGATTGTCGCTACCAGAGAAAATGTCTTTTTGCACGGGCTCTGAGAGTCAAACTCTGGACGATCGATGCCAGAAGCAGCTCTTGTAGGAAATGCTGTGGCTGAGCTCCATTTGAGCGGTACAGTATCCAACGGAATGTAACTAGAACCCATGCAGAGTCAAAACGATGAAAATCTTAGGGATGCCACTGGGAGTTGAATCACACCTGCTGCTTGCGTACAGCAGTGCAGCTTCTGCGGGGCATGTGTGCAGGCTGCATGCCACAGATCTACATGTATGCAAGGCAGTATGGCCAGTATGGCCACAGAAGATAACGGCGACGACCCCGGCACGAGGGGACTCGTGATGATCATGCTGGTGGGTGCATGGTGCCCATGATAATGATGGCGACGGCGATGATGATACTTATGATGACGGTAACGGTAGTGGCGACGAACATGACGGTGTTGATAAGCCTGTTGATGATTATGAAGACGAAGAAGATAGCGACTATCATGATAACGATGGTGGTGCTGGCGGTGGCGGTGGCGGTGCTCGCGCTGGTGGTGGTGGTGGTGGTGGTGGTGGTGGTGGTGGCGGTGGCGGTGCTCGCGCTGCTGCTGGTGGTGGTGGTGGTGGTGCTGGTGCTGGTGCTGGTGCTGGTGATGGTGGTTGTGGCGGTGGTGGTGGTGGGGGGCTGTAGTGGTCGTGGCGGCAACGGCCGCATCCCAAGAGTAGCTCCATGACCTTATTGTTAAGCTCAGCAAAACTACCTAGTAAGCACGTCTTTTTTGTCGATCAGCATAAGCTGCCTCATCCTCTGCACTTCATTACAATCATTGATACCATCTTCAAGGCCACATTTAGCATTAGCATCATCATAATCATTACCAACGTCATCATCACCATCATCTTCTTCATCAATGCTGTCATCTCCAATGTCGTTGGCCCCACCATCCACCTATCACAATGATTATCAGCACCATCATCTTCACCATCATCAGCGTTGGTCACTATGGCTAGCACACCCACATCCTCATCACGCTGTTTGTGTCGGGCCTTCATCTTGTCCTTGAGGTGAGCAGTCAGCTCCACGAAGCTAAAGTACCTCTCCGGATTGAAGCCCGCGCGACTCCACGCCCTTCGTTCGCCCAAACATAGCGTTAACTAGTATTGGCAAGGGCTTGACAAGCTTGTATACGTACTGTATAAACCAATTCAAACCCAAAGAAACTGCGGTCCCTCTCATCACAACTAATGCTGACGTGCAATGCCGGGACCATTAAAGGTATGATGGTGCTGGTCACTGAAACTCGCACGTTAAGTCCTCCTCTGCCAACAGCATGAGGCTTGCCAGTAGGATTATCGGGTTGAGGATGGGGCTTTTGGCTGCTTGGACGATGTTTCGGAGAGGAGAAGCAACAAATAGTGCCAATAGCTCTAATCGACATTCGCAGCTAGGCTCCTCTTTATGGACGTACAATGACAACTAAATGTGAACGGGCACAAAAATCGTTAAACTTTGCTGAAAACAGCCGCCACATCCTTTCGCATCCATGCCTCTTCGAACTGCCGGGTACCCCTAAAACATCCTGAAACCCTCAACCCTAGACCCTAAACTTTGGCCCTAAACTCCATGAACACTAAACCAGCACAACCCCCCAACCTGTTTTGCCCTAATATTGAGCTCGCGGCCGTCTCAGCTCGGGATGCCTTCGAGTCTCATCTTGCCTCAGGTCATGATTAGAATAGGGTTGGGGAGTATAATTTACTATAGTTATAATAAGGAACCCCCAAACCAGTATTGGTAATTATGATGCCTGACGATATTCATCATACAAAAAACGGAATGAGTAGTTTAATCACAATGATTGAGCATTCTGTTCATCATCCACATCATGATGATCGTGCCAATACAGAATCCCTAGACACAATGAGAAAATGCAACTAGAGCGCAGCGCTGGGGCTAAACTTAACAATAATGCATGTTCTGCGAAGGCGTCCGAGGAAAAAGTAGCAGTTTTCGTGACGGCAATTGACGCAACAACAGCTGTTGTAACTGCACCAGACTCGCGGCTTCTCTTTCTCTGCTCCTCTGCTCCGCCTGCTCAAGCCCATCCCACGCTCCAATGTGGTCGAAGTTCAAGGCATCGCATCAGCATTTCAAGCAGCCGCATCGATAAATGCATCGTACTAGTGTTTTTCTAATGCTAGGATGATAGTGGGGACGTGGTTCTGGCATTGCTCTGATGGACTGTTCGATGCTGACAATGATAGGAAGAAAGACGAGAGGGCGATGACCAGCATGATGACGATGCCTGTCCACAAGAAATGACGATGTTCCAGCCCTACGAAGCCATGGCACAAGAGGCTGCACAGTGGGGCTGAAGAGTAAGAACACCATAATGTGAGGATGCTCATTGACCTCGATCCGAATGCTGGCGGGGGCTATGATGACCCCCCCCAAAAAGGCGATGCCGGTAAAGACGCTGGCTGGGGATAGGGTTGTAACACTGTGTGGGCTGTGGCGATACTCATGACGATGACGACACTGTTGCTAACTATGACCGGGACATGTTTTCTACTTTTGATGCTTGATATCAGAATCACACTCTACTCGAGCATTGTCATGCCTCATTAGTCCTGCGGGCCCGGAAAACGGGTGCCCCGCCGGATTGGGCCGCCATCGTCCTTCCATGCCGCCTAGCAGAGGATTTTGCTGTTGAGGTTGAGATTCTCAGCGTTGCTGGTACATTGCTGTTTGCGCATTTGATTGCTGTACTCGCGCTGAGTCGTCCAGACGACTTGCCAGACTCATAGGCTATGGTGACTATGGGTTCTCTGCACGAGTTGGTTGAAACACTCGCCAGGAAGCGGTTTCTCACATCCACAGAAACGGTTGGTACTCGAACGCCGGCTTCAGTGACTGGGATGAAACACGACATGGACACTGAAAGTCAGCTCTAATTGAAATATATAGGGGCCTTAACAGTTAGAATAAACTGAATACTACTCGAAATATGATAAGAAACACTAATTAAGGAATACTATTGGTAATGATTCCGATCCCGATATGGGAGTTTCCGAAATTAGGGGTACCATAGTTTGCAGCCCTTATCATAAGGATCCTACTATTTCGGGTATCATATTAGGGTCCTCTATTTTGGGAAACTCCCGATATTCGCCTCGCCTTGGACTTTTCCTTCGCAGGAGAAGTTGAAGGCTTTCGAGGAGGAGCCTGGCAAAAGGCCACAGTCACAAAAAGGGGTCGTCTCTTCATAATCCTATATACTTGTCGGGTATCAAGGGGAACTAAAGGTTAACATTTTTGATTATATAGGGGTTAGATAGGGGCTATACGACCCAAACAAGGTTAAAGGTTACTTATACTCTACTACTAGGTAATGGAATCGGGCTCCATTAATCCGCAGATTCTGCTGTAAGTAGTCTTTACAGGGACTGTAGGGGAATAATATTGCAAACCCTAAACCCTAAACCCTGCAAGAGCTGGCAGCTGGTAGTAGTCTTCGAGGCCCGAGCAGAATGGAGAGCGATGGGTTTCGTAATGGCTCAATCTACGGCACGGCAAAATGCAGTGCGGCTCTTTATGCCTGATCCCCGGGCACTTGCTCCAAGAAGCTTGTCACGCATCAGCTTTCACTTCTGAAAGATGCTTGAGTGGCAACAAGTGTCTATTGCACTTGCATCCCACCCGATTCCCGCGAGTAACAATTCTGATCATCATCCATCATACACTCATTCACCCTTAGATGACAAAGGTAGCTCGCCGTCCACACGTCGTCGTCTGGCAGATCGCATTTCAGGATCTTCCACGATCTTCCAGCAATGGCCCATGTTGTAAAACAATTCTAGCTCTTTGCAGTTGCCCCGCTTGGTGAGAGCATTCGCCAGCTGCGCCTCCGAGTGCACCCATCTCAGGACCAAGCCAGTCTGCTCCTGGCTCTCTTTGAGGGCAACCATTTCGATGTTTGTCCTCTTCTCTGCTCCTTTTATGGTTAACACAGCTGTCACCAGTTTGTCGTACACGTTGCGACTGTCTGTTATCAAGCAACCCAGTACTTTGCCCACATCGGCTGCCGGATTCCGTACATCGCCTGCACCATGTAGTAGCTCATGCCACTGGCACCTAGCGTAAAACAAGGAGTCCTCGCCGTTGATGGCCGCATGGGCCTCAGCGGCTCCGGGAGAGCGGCATGCTCTCTCAATCCTGTTTGAGTGCCAGGCCACTGGCGAGATTGGGCACAGCTCGCCCTGTAAAAGTGTAGTTGGCGCCACTCCTATGAAGATACCCTGAGTACTGTACCCATCAACCCTGTTCTGGTTACCGGCATCAACCCATCCATACAGTCCGAGGTCCTCGCCATTTCTAAAAGCATGGATTTTCATAACATGGTCCTTGGCGGCGCGTGCCCTGCGGAGGCACGCGTTTGCCTTAGCGATAGTCTCTCCATCACTTTGGGAGACCTCAGACAGCAACAAGCTGACCTCGGCGCTCAGGTGCGGCGCCACTTGCTGCGCATGCCAAGATATGGCACCCAACAAAGCCCTTAGTTGACTTCTTTCGCGCTCGGTGGTGGCCTGCGTAGGTTGCTTCCGTCTGGAAGCGTTCACTGGTATCTCTTTGACTGAGTCAATGTACCTTGGTTGCGAAAGCTCAAAGCCGCTGGCTGTCCTTTTGATGTTCACACCGCATTGAACGAAGTCATCATAATCCCAGTCACCCCACTGAAAGCGTTCCTTGATGGCTTTGATGGTTTGTTGCCACTTGGGGTGTTGCTCATCTCCAGTGAACAAGAAATCGTCCACATGACCAGTTATGATACCTATCACGGTGTCCTGTTCGCGAAGCACCCAACAGCAAGCGTCTGACCAAGTTCTCTCAAGCTGTAGGCTACCCAAAAACTCGTCGACTGTTTTGTGCCACTCTAGTGGAGCGTCTACCAAGCCGTAGCAAGCTCGTCGGAGTCGAGTTATCGACTCATGTGGAATGCCTAAGGCCTCGCAAATCTCTGGACAAGGAATGCAGTACAGAGTGTCCGGATACTCTCTACCCTGCAAAAAGGCACCGGACACGTCGCCCTTGGCGACTCGCCAATTTCGATTGGCAGCTATCTGTAATACAAGTTGTCTGGTCTGTCGTGACATAACAGGTGCCGTGGTAGCGCGGTGTTCATACGCCGGGTCTTGATATCCCAACAGCACCGCTCGAGCCTTCGGCTTGACAGAGCCGTCTTCTTTCTGTTTCCACGTCAATATCCAGCGCATATTGACTGCTTGCTCTTTTGAGGGCCTTTGTCCTTCCGGAATTGTCTCAAAAGCCTGTGCCGCCACGAAGTTCTTGACCTCCACCAGTTTGGCGGATCGGAAGAGCGCTCGTTCTTCATCTGTCAAGCGCTTCTCACTGACCTCGACGGCTCGCTTCTTCATACTGTTCATGAAGTAGGTGGGTAGGTCTCTGCAGGCCTTGTCCAAGCCCTGCTTGCTTTCTGGTAGCGCCACTTCCACCTCGATGGCTGCCTGGCGATCGTTCCAGTAGGCTGTGTCGTCGCTCCACAAAGCCTCCTGTACCTCGGACCACCATTGACCGCCAGACGAATTGCTCGGCCTGGAGTAGGGGGATGACCTTGATGCCGTAGCTCGTTGGCCCTCTCTCGGCGGGGGTTCCTCCCCGTCTTCATCTCCACGGTTATCACGAGCTCGTCCGTAGGAGGTGGCGCGAGCCACCTCGTCTTGCGATCGCTTCTGTCCAATCCGTCGTCTAGTTGGCTGTACCTCCTGCTCCACGTCCTGGGCTCGTGTCCACTCGTGTTCCGGAACCGCCTCAGTGATATCTTGATACTTGCTCCCACCGATCTGCTCAGCGACCCGTGTGTAGGTCCACGGTACGGGATCAGTCTGGTTCAAAGACTCGATCAACTCCTCCCGCGCGGAGGCCCTTCGAACCTGCTCAGCTGCGCACTTCAGTAGGCTGCGGCCACGTACCAACCATACCGACGAACTCGGCATGAGATGTCCCTGATCATCTCGCTTTGTCTCTGTCGCCAGCACTCGTGCCGGACCCAGAAACTGTCCATGGCGGTCTCCCGGCTCGCGGCGTGACTGTCCGCTTACCTGTGATCGCCAGAAGAACACCAGTTCGCCAGGCACGAAGTCTAGCACTCGCCTTCCGCGAGAGTGCGCTGCTCTAGACAGGCGCTGTTTGGCCTGCCACTCACTGAGGGCTTGCTCAGCAGTCCTCTGTCGCTCAATGCTCCTGGCGAACTCGCCGGTGGGATTCTCTACTAGTAGCTCGGGTGGCATCGCCTTTCCAGAAAAATCCATCCGGCCCGAGATATCTGGCGCCTGGCCCAGAGCGTGCTGCGTCGGGGTGAATCCCCGAATGATTTCCCTCTGGTTGAAGGTGCGCACTGCGACAGCTAGGGCCTCTCGGGTGTCCAGCTCCGGTTCATCTTCTAGTAGTTTGCTGATCAGTTCCTTGGTCCCTTTCACGGCCTGCTCTACAACGCTCACCTTCCAGTGAGCCTCTCCTGGTATCACATCCAGGAAAATCTGGTGCCTGTCGCAGAACTCCTCTACCGCGGCGCCTCTGAAGGCGCCTGCTGGGTCGAGGCGAAGCGTCCGCGGTGCCCCGAAATAGGATATCCAACCATCCCTCAAGTACTCTAGACATGCTGCACCTGTGGGCTGTTGCTTTGAGCCCACTGTCAGGACTCGCGCCGCTTTGAAGCGTGATCCCTCATCCACTATCATCATGAACTGCACATGTTCTTTCTTGTGGACATTGTAGTAGTGCCCAATGTCGGCGCTTACGCAGTGCCACTTCGGGGGAAGTGGCTCCAAAGAGGCCAGGTGTCGTGGCTGAACCCTTCGCTTCTCTTCACACACTGAACACCGGAACTCTTTCGCCAGAGACAACACCTCCGAATGCACACCCCTACGTCGTAATGCTTCCACAAGGTGTTTGGTGCTTCCATGTCCTGTTGCCGCGTGTAACAAGTACAACTGCTTCTTCACTCTTTCGCGTTCCTGTTTGGTGAGGGGCTGTTCACTCGCGGCCATCACATGCTCACGAATCCTACTTCGACTTTGGGCTTTTGGGGGGAGCCTAAACTTCAACCTCCGAAGCTCATCCCTGCACACTTCATCCATAGTATTATGGCTTCGACTCACGTAACACGACATCACGTATCTTGACCCTTGCCACACTTCCGTTCCATGCCAGGCCTTGGGCGGAAACTGCACCACCTGGTGCATCGTCTTGTGGAGCTGTCCCACGCGTTCGGTGCCGTCGGGCAACACCTTTGTGGTTGATTTACTGACTGGCACCTCTTCGGGCCTCTCTATCCACAGCTCCCCTCCTTGGTAACGACTAACTCCTATCACGCAGTTGTTGTGTTGGGGGTCATTGTGGCAGTCCCTATGCAGGGGCATGTGCATGTTCCTACTGACCACGTAGGACGTGTACATTTGTTCACTAGGTAACTGTCGTTGCAAGTACTGTTGGAAATATTCGTGGCAGTGAGGCAACGTTCGGGTCACTTTGGTCACTCCGTAGAACCTACCGTGAGCATACAGTCCGAACGTGTAATAACCCTTCTTTTTCGTTGAATCTTGGAGTCCTTGGGCCTGTTTACGACCGCGTTGTTGCATGTTGGGAAGTACCTCTATGAGGGCCTCACAGTCTGCATGTTGGAATTTCTGGTCTCTCAACAGTTGCTGTGCCGTGTCTTCGGCCTGCTGAACTTCACTACTACAGACATGAGCACTTGGGCCTTCCTCAGTTTGGGTACCTTCCGCAAGCTCGGCTTCGTGTTGGTAGTCGTGTTGTGCTTGGGGGTTCTCATTCGCTTCGGGGCCTGGGTCCTCCTGTTCATCGGTATCACAACCCTGACTCAAACCCTTCTCACCTTCACGCCTTTTCCCTTGCAAACACAACCCACAAGGTATCCCAACCTCTCTACCTTGCGTAAGCTCACAAATGCAGTGGAGTCCATTCCCAAATGCCTCTGGCAGTTCTGGCTTCCCTCGCAACTCACTCAGCACTCCTACGTAGTTGTGCTCCTGCAACACCATCTGTGTCACTCGATCCGCAAACTCCGAAGTATACGTATCCTCCGAAAGACCCTCAACGCCCTCGTCCTTAGAGTGCACGTACGCCTTAGCGCATGTGCATGGCGCTTGTAACACCTCTGAAAGCCGGCCATGCGTCGTGCAGACCTTCCATCCACGCCTGGACAGCTTGTTGTCTCTTCCTCGTTTGTTCATGCGACATCCCTTAGTCACGCACACCTTCAGTGAATGTTGCTGGATCAGCTGCTGCACAACCGGTAACCTCCAAGCGTTGTTTTGATCGGGCATCTGCAAGGACACATGTATTCCTAGTTGAATGCACGCTCGAACTACAACGCCACAACCGACAAGATACTTCATGGTTTTCTGTCGTTCAACACTCAGCTTGGGGTCTGGAGCCTCACTTTTACTTCTAGTGTTTTGCCAGTTACAGAACGGTTTACTGGGTGGCCTGATCCACACATGCAACGGTCGCAACACCTCCATCTTTTCAAGAGTCTGCTTGATCCCCTCGGTCGTGCTTAGATCGTGGCCGTTCCAGTCTGCGCACCTTATAGCTGCGCTGTCCCGACCGGCCCGTTCCTGCACTCGTTGTGTCAGCTTGCTCTCCGGCAAACTGCTGATTTCCAAAACATATGGCCGACGCTGAGAAACAAGATCCTGAAACATCTGAGGCACTAAGCTCCAAGCCTGGTGTTCCACTAACGCCGCTGTTTCTTTGCTTAGAACCACACTATCGTCCTCAGCATCCGCCGTTCCGATCCCTGTCGGACTCATATCTAAGCCCACGGCCCCGAGGTGCTTCACTTGGGGTTCGGCTTGCTGGGGTTCCCCACCATCTGGTAGGAGTTGGCCGCCGACTCGGTCTCGCTGTTCGATGCTCGGACCTCCTTGCGAGGCCTCTCGGCGCGTAGCTCCTGGACTTCCTGTTGGAGCCCCTGCACTGTGGTCATCATGGCCTGCAAGAGCTCGTGGGTCGCGTCCGTGGATGCTCGTGCCGTGCTCGCCGGAGGACTTGGGGGTGCTCGCGCCTTCGCTTTTGGCTTGTTCACCGGGATCATCTCGGCCTCCTTGTCCGCCTGCCGCTCCAGCCAATTGGCCAGTCGTCGTAGGCGGTAGTCCGTTTCGTCGGTCTCCTGGGCCGTCTTCTTGACCCAGTCTGCATAGTTGTGGCGCTCCCTGTAAATGTCCATGTAGGTCTCCGTGCTGTGCTTCCCGAAGCCCACAACATCCTCTCCGGCAGGCTCCGAAATGTCGTACAAGCGGCGCAAGGCGGCCTGCTCGAGGGTGTACATCGTGTGGTTGCAGCTGGTCACTACCCCGATCTGTTGGCAGTAGGCCTCCAGAGTCGACTTCTTTCGACTCGCCACTCCGAGCTCGCGAATGCGGCTCTGTAGGTCGGTCACTACCTTCTTCGGTGTCTCGCCGGCTGCTTGATCCAGTTCCAGGATCCGCATCACGATCTCCTTCTTGGTCCACTTGGTAGGCGTCTGCTCGCCCAGCTCGGCCAACTTCTCCTTGAGCTGCTCCTTGCGCAACTTCATCAAAGCCATGTTGGTGTGGAGGCGGCGGGACCCTATAGGAAGTGCCGCGGTGATGGCTTCTGTCGTCACTTGAGACCTCGTCGTCTGTGGTTGTTGAGTTTCCCTTGTCATCTACCTTATCACCACCATCATCATCAACATTGAACCTAACACATTTCACTCGACACTGATCAGAATTGCTTCTCGGATAAACGCTTTGGCATTGCTCTGCAACGCCCCCCGTGCCTGAAACTACACTGTCCACTTCTTTCCTGCCAGGCATACAGTCAGAAGCGAGTTGTCCCTACTCCGAGGCTTGCTGTGCAAGTTCCTTCAAGCTTCGGATGGGCTGCTTGGTGGATAGGGCCTTCTCGTACAAGTTGCCAGTCAGTGGTAACAATTGGTGTCCCGTGCTGGACCTCTCCAAGCTCAACACCTGTTGCGCATCAATGGCTCTGAAGCATACCATGTCGTGCTGGAAATCTATAATAGCTCCCAGCGCCCGCAAGGTTGCCACTGACAGCAAGATCGGCGTGTCGCCCTTATCGAGCGCATGCACAACCAGTCGGCCTTCTCGGGGTCCTGCGGTAATGCCCAGCTCCACTGTGCTGGCACATTGGTCCTCTGTGGAATTCCCAAAACCGAAGGTTGGCCGATTGTCCAAGCTGACGGAATGGATGCGCGGGCTGCCGTACTTCTTGGCATTGATGTCCATCACCTTCTGGATAGCTGCTACACTGCCCAGTGTCCTCGTGGCTCCGCCGTCGATCACGGCAAAACCTTCTGTCGCGGCCTCGCGAGTGCTCTTGGCGCCCATTGCGCCGGTGGCGCTGGCGCTCAATGCCTGGTCAGTGTAGCAGATGAAGGGGGCCGACTGCGTCGGTCCACTGCCGCTTCTCGTAGCCTCCTGGGGTGCTGATCGGCAGTTGGCTGCCCGGTGGCCCTTCTTCCCGCACTTCATGCAGATCATGTTCTCGTCATTCGGTGTGTAGCCCTTTCCACCTTTGCCTTGATAATACTTCCTTGACAACTTCACTGCTGATTGTTTCGCCCGGGCCTCTCGTAAGGTCCGCCGGGCATTCTGGTAGGTGGCCCATGCTTGATGCACTTCTGCCTCGGACTCTGCCCACAAGATCTGGCCCTCCTCGTCGAGTTCCTCTACGCTGAAACCCTCATCGAGCTCCACCGTCTCGTCTTCCTCGTCGGGGCCTTCACCCAGATAGCTGGAGTGGCGACTTGAGGCGTCGCCCCGGCGATTCTCAATGTCTGGAAACTGTGTGCGCAGTTCCTGGGCCACCTTCTGCACCGTGAAGTTGTTCTGAATCGCTGTGAGGATGAGGTTCTTCTCCGAGCTGCTCAGTCCTGCATCCTGGAGCAGGTACCAAGCCTGGACGAACTCTGGCAGGAGTTCTGGCAAGGGCTCCGGCTTCGCCGCCGTGTTCTTTGGCTGCCAGCCCGTATAGCCTTGGCCATAGCCGGTCTGCCAGCTTCCTCCCCATGACCAGTAGTTCTGCTGCCACCAATACGATGGAGTCCAGTTCCATCCAGCGTCCCTCGAGGCCTCGCTGGCCTGCGAGGGTGCCGTAGTGCCGCTTGGTGTTCGTGGTGGCGCCTTGTGCGTGGTCAGAGCTTTCTGGCTCTGTTTCCTCATGCCCCGTCGAGTCCCAGCTGCTCCGGCGACTCATGTTGGGCCAGCCTCCATAGCTGCCCCACTGCCCACCATCCGGATTCACATGTCCTCCTCCGGTTCGGCTGGTCTCCTTGGCGACCGGCTGGTGATGTGGGGACACTCTCTTCATCGCCTGACAAGCTCTCAGATACACCTCACACTTCCGTGAGATGTACTCATTCATCGACTCCTGTTGGCGGCGTCGGCCTTGACGAAAATATCGGTTCAGGTGCTCCGTCAACTCCGGTATCTGAGGGCGTCCCAGGCACACCCGCAGGTGTTGCAGTAGCGTCTCCACACCTTGGTCGTGCGACAGCCATGTCGGTGGCTGTCCAGCCACCCATCTCTTGGCCGCACCAGTCAATTCTCCCAGCAACTTGGGTCCCAGAAGACATCTTTTGTGATACGGGGTGCTTTGTTCGAAGATCATGCACTGCTCGAAGAACTCTTCAAAACTGGCGGCGGCGCCATCCCATGTGGGCACACCGTCCTTGCTCCGGCCACTCGAAGTGGTCGCTGCCATCTCTTGGATTCTCTTCCCGGCCTTCGCAGGGAAAGATTGTCGTAAGGTCCCTGGTCTCCTGAGCCAAGCCCTCACAAGTATGTGAGGAGCAAGGCTCCGCTACCATGCAAGAGCTGGCAGCTGGTAGTAGTCTTCGAGGCCCGAGCAGAATGGAGAGCGATGGGTTTCGTAATGGCTCAATCTACGGCACGGCAAAATGCAGTGCGGCTCTTTATGCCTGATCCCCGGGCACTTGCTCCAAGAAGCTTGTCACGCATCAGCTTTCACTTCTGAAAGATGCTTGAGTGGCAACAAGTGTCTATTGCACTTGCAAACCCTAGATAGTTTGGCTTCTAGATTGTATAACTGGCTTCTTGTCCGGGAGCTTCCGCGGGTCTTGTACGGAGGTTTTGATTCAGGAGCCTGTGCAAGGCGCTTCCTCCAGCTTTATAGTCTTTTGGGGTCAAAACTTTAGGCCCGATGTTAGGGCGTCGTTCAGGAGTGGGATTTTTGAGTCTAGGCATAGTCCCTAAACCCACAACCCACTTGTTTGCTTGCGGCATGGCATGCTGACACTCTTGCCGGCAAGGAGTGTTTGAACACAAGAGCTTCGTGCCTTGGGACTGATTTCCGGAGCACAAATCGCAGGTCTGCTGTGCTACTCCCGACACTTTTGAGGATTGCCAACAACACTTACTAACGAAAACCCGTGGTGCTAGGCAAAGTTCGAATGAGGCCAACACACGCATACGCCATCAGCGGGAGAAGAAAAAAGAGCCTGCATAGTTAGACACGGCTTTCGCTGTGCGATAGGCTAGGCGGAGCGTAGAGTACTTATCATTAGTATTTGCCAAGCGTACACCCTGAACTTGATTGTCTCCCATGCCCCTTCCAGTAGTAGTCCCGCAATCGGAGACTCCGCGAGTGCTTAAGCAAACCTGAACTTGAGGCCATGGGGCCTCTAGAAAGCAGCATTTTGGGGATTAAGGGCATCGAGCGGAGTAGAGTGCTCGCCCCATCCCAGAAGATCATCCCTAAACCCGAAATCCTAAATCCCAATCCGTAAGTCCCCTGTTCTTCGACAGCTCTGGGCCTCCTTCCGTCGTGCCAGTAGGTGGGGGCCTGGCCCAGCTTTGAAAGCCTCCACCACCCACTTGGGCTTCATCTTCTCCCTTGCCAGGCTCTGCGGTGAGGGGTGATTTAAGTAGTGCTTTTTCGATTTGTTTCCGGTCGGATTTAGTCTGGGGCTAGGGGGCTTTCGGGGTTTAAGGTGCAGGGTTACAGGGCTCTGATTCCTTCATTTGGGCAGCTGGCGTCTGTGGTGGCTGGTGGGGCACCGGCTGTAGGGCGAAACCTTTTCTCACTTCAGGGCAAATTTACAGGGTGTTCAGGGCAAAGGGTGTGAAGGGCTTCGGGTGAGGCGCGGTTCGGGCAGGTTTGCTAACGGCAGATACACAAATTCCTCTGGAGGGTCTCTTAGAGGTTCGAACTTCGGGATGAGGAAGACGGGTTTGCATTCTTACAACACGGCCTTTTTCAAGATCCAGCACGACGAAACAACACTGAGCGGCCCAAAACAACGCAGGACCTGACGAAGATTCGAAACAAACAACGTGATTTTCAGGGGCCTCTACGGGAGCCGACGGCTCGTTGGTTGTTTGTGGCACAGAGCTTGGTAGGATACCACGGTGGTTCCGTCGAAGCATCCCTGAGCGCGACTTTTTCCGATCTCCTCCTGACTTCTACTTGAGTAGCCCCTCAATCACAAGGGTACCCGTTTCCTACTGTTGGGTTTTCACAAGGGAGCCCAAGAGACAAAGGCCAAAAGGATACGACTGAGAACCTAGTCTACTGATTTCACTGTTTCTGCGCCCCAACATCGAGCCCAACGCGTAACCCCGCGCCCAAATCCGCACGGCCATGAATGCCAAAGGCATGCAACAACTTGCCGTTAAGGACTAGCTATCCGGGGCAAGGACTCTCAGCGCCGAAGATAAGACTTGAGGAGGTCAGGAATTCACGGTGTAGGACCAGTCTGGTTTGGGACTCTTCAGGCTAAGCGCCTCGGTTTCAGAACTACAAGGCAAATCTGCCCACAGGCCCTTTGCCCTGAAAGATAACCATGCTATCCTATCTCGTGCTGCCCCAGGTTCAATGACCCTTGACCATTCACTCGAACCGTTTTGAATCCCTAAGCTTTGGAGCTCAGGGCTTCAAACCACAAGAATTTGAAACTGCCGTTCTGGCAGTAAAACGCAGAAATTCCGCAGAAACAGAAACCTGTGAATCCCCTAAGCCTGCCCTGCCTCCAGAACTTTCCGGCATGTCCCAGCTGAGCTTCATTTAGCGTGATGCCGGGGCCTTTCAAACAAGGGGACAATTTCTGAACTCTCGGCTTATGGGGCTCAAACCTGTCAGGGTTTGCGGGTATTGGGGATTCAGGATGCTACGGTCGGCTGGTCTCACATCCGGTGGTTTTCGGGGCCTCTTTGCGAGTCTTGTGCCATTCTCTCATGTCAGGGCTTTCAATCCCTCTGACAGGATGGAAGCCTAGAAGAACAGGATTGAACGAGTCACGTCAGATCTTGCCAAATGAACATAAAGCTCGTATGCTTAAACACACTGACGTCCTAAGCCCTGTTACTGGAAGCCGAAAACCACAAGGCCCTGCGCCCACAAATAGCCATCACAGTCACAAACACAGTGATAGGAATGATACTAATCTTAGAAACACTGCCTGTCTAAGTAATCATCATGAGGCCCCAGACAGTCATAGTTGTAGAACCCTACCAGTAAAAAGAGAAACCTTATCAAGAAGCTACCATTGTCTCTAATGGTTCCCATCGGTGTGGGGGCCTC